CGAGAACACAACCTCCGCTCATTAATATTGTTCATTAGTTTCATTAATATTTAAAAGAAGGTCCCAAGTCCATTTACTTTAATCCAAGCCCATTAACTTTATCCTAGGTCCATTGAATTTATTTAATTCCATTTTATTTAGTCCAAGCTCATTTAGTTTATTCCAAACCTATTAATTTTGTCCAAGTCTAATTTTTTTTTGGTTTTAGGGTTTATTACCGGGCAACTCCTAATCAAGTAGATAATTTTCCAATTTCAGAATATAATTAAATCTTACCCATTTTATTTTAGATACTATACATATTTATTTATAGCATATCAAAAAATTAGGTCTAAATACCAAGTACAAAATTAATTAAAAAAATTTTGAAACTTAGGAAGCAATCTGCCTAGTAGTAGTTTGTCTAGAGCTATCCATACTAAATTAGGTATAACTCTTCGTACACGAATCCAATGACAAAGAACTTTTAAAGGGAGTTAGTTGAAATATATATGAACAACTTTTATTCTTTAAGTTTCACTCAGAAATCGACCTAAAATCCTTGAAAAGGCACCCCAAAATTCGGACAGAATTTACTCCTTATCAACACTAATTTATTAGTTCATTCCAAGCCAACTTTAAACATATTTTAGTTCACTTAAATTTAGTCCAAGTTCAATCCAATCCATCACCACATACTTGGACATTTTTCAAAAAAATCATAACATAATAAATCATCACAACAAGGCATCCATACATAGATTTATCCCAAGCATCAAGCATATAACCATTGAAAATTATTACAACCCATGAAATAAACACTAACAAAATAACTTAAAAAAATAATTTAAGACATTAATCAGCTAAAAAAAATGAAACCTACTTACCTCTTTTAGGTTTGATTAGAATTTCCTTAGCTCTTTTCCTTTTCTTTTTCCCTTTCTCTTTTTCTTTCCTTTCCTTTCTCTCCTCACGTTTTTCTTAGGTGAGTTGGCATTAAATTCATTTATTGCATTTGCTTAGGTGTCTATATAAAATTTAGACTAATTAAAATCATTAATTAACTTAATTCAAGTAATTAAAACTACTTTTTTCCATAAAAACTTCGGAAATTTCCATTTTTAAAATTCGAAATTTCTTTTCCCCCCAAAATTCTAGCGAGTGTTACCTCTTAACCCATCTATACTAAAACGTGCATAAATCTTTCTATATTTATCCAAAAATTATGAAATTGTATAAAGAGCTATTTAACATATAGAAAAACAACTTTTATTCTTTAAGTGTTTCTCAAAACTTAATCTAATATCTTCAAATAAATCTCACAAGATTCAGGAAAATTCTTCTCCCGAAATTCCAACAGAATGCATTTCAGAACAACTCTCACCATAATGGATATAACTCTTAATGTATAGGTCCAAAACTTATATAATTTTATACAGTTATATTTAACACATAGATAAACAACTTTCATTCTTTAAGGTTTACCCAAAAATCACCCTAAAGTGCTCAAATAATTCACACAAAAATCGGGCAGAATATAGTCCTTAAAACATTGATTTTGCATATTTGATTTCTTTAATAATTAAGCCATTAATCTTAAGCACAATAACTTTAATTTAACATAAATCACATATTTCAAGCATTAATTTCTCATGATGAAATGAGAATTATACTTACTCTTAATATACATATATATAGAATTATTCTAATACACGTCGCGTTACGGATAAGGGTTTTTACGGTGGTTACAACTTTTCTTTCTATTATAATTCCTCGCTTTGCGATTTTTTCTTTGTTTTGACCATTAAATTTGGTAAAAAAAATTTTTAGTCCCTGCTTTGAATTTTTTTTTATCATTATATTTTTATTATATTTGATTTTTTTTCCCTACAATGAACTATTTTTTACTTTTCGTAAAACTTTTTTTATGTTTTGATTTTTATTTTTGTGATCTTTCTTTTATTTTGATCATTAACTTTTTATTATATTTGATTACTATTCTTTCTACACTAAAATTAAATATAGTTTCACTATTCTAATTTTTTTTTTGGCTTTCAGTAAATTTTTTTTTTTTTTTGGTTCTTATTTTATGTTTTTTTTTTTATTAAAATTCTATTATGTTTTATTTTTGTTCCTGCCTTAGGCATAATGAATTTGTTTTAGTCTTATTGTTTATAAGTTTTTTTTCTCTCTTTTTTTTTCTTTTAGTGAAATTTTTTATTTATTTTGATCCTTCTTTTATGATATTTACTTTATTTTGATCATTTAATTTTTATCGTGTGTAATTTTATCTCTATTTTTTTGCCAAATTCTCGATTTGACAAAGCTTTTTTTGTCTTTTTGTTTAGGTGGTCTCTCTATTTCATTAACAGATTACATATGAAGAATATATGATAAAAATTAATCATCTAAAATTCAAAAAAATCACAACATCATTATTTTAATTATCAATTATTATACATATTTTTTTTTAATAAAATACATGTTTATATCAAATAATATCTAACTAGCAACATCATATTACTCAACTTTGCAAACTTTTCATTTAACTAGCTTTACAGACAAAATATGAGATATATGTTTTGGTTCTTTTTTTGAATTTTTTCGCATGATCTTTTTAAATAATTATTTTTAAATTTTGTATTTTATATGAATGAACACATAAGAATGTAATATCTAACTAGGAAAATTATATTACTCAACTTTGCGTGACTTTTCGTTTAATTAACTCTACAACAAAATATAAGATATATGTTTTGGTTCTTTTTTTTGAATTTTTTTGCATGATATTTTTAAAATTTGTATTTTCTATGAATGAACACATAAAAATGTAATATAGCTCACTCTACGATAATGCGTGGGATGTATGCTAGCCTCGAGCTATAGTTCAAAGCAATTAACCAAATTTTGATAATTTTTTTTTGTCTTTTATTAGGTAAAAAGCCTGATGAAATCTAATGTAGTCAGTTACTTGTTTGGTTCTGATAACTTGAAATATCAAAATTAGAAAATTAAAAAAATCAGAGATTAAGTTGGATTTTAAGAAAATTTAAAATATCGTTTTATCAATTAACTATATTTTCATTCGAATTATCCAATTCGGAAGTCAATATTCATAGAAGAAAGAGGAAAGAACAATTTCAATTAATTTTTGTATGTTTTATCAATTAATTAAAGGTTTAATTGCCATGTAATGTTAAATCTCAGGCGTTCTGATTTCGATTACGATAATTGTAATGGGACAAGCACCAGTGAAATTATGTAATGAATTCCAATTGCTGGAGGGACCACTTTTTTTTTTTGGGGGGCTGGACGGACCAATTTTTTTTTTTTTTAACTGACACGTAAGAGATCATAATAGAACTACTGGACCAGAAGCCCAAAACTTCCGTTTTGTGACGTGGTAGAGGCAGTTAGGGACAATATTGATTTCCCTCTATAGCGATTCTTAGACCAGCACGCACCGAAAGGCTCGTGGTATTTCGTCACATAGTCTAAAGTGATGAGGGGTCCACCAAACGCGGAGCCATCTATGATCTACTCAAGGTTTTGTTTTCTTCATGCTGTTATCCCCATGTGCATGTTCTCATTCTCATTGACCATTGGCTCGTGATATCTTTAGATCCTAATTTCCCAACCCACCACTGTTTTCCACAGGATGATGCACCATCAAAATCTGCATTATTTTGCTTTCAAACTCCTTTTGCACTTTCATACAAAGATAACTACCAGCATTCCCATCAATCTCGCAAGATAGGTCGCTCGTGTCCGGCCCCTTCAAAGACAATAGTGCCATCAAATATGGATAAATTGTAAAACACGTCCTTAAACTTTCATTAAAAAACAATATTCTGTTTAATTAATAATTCCTTGATTTTTTTTATTTAAACGATATGATATTTTGAATGTGATAAGAAAAACCTAAAAATCTTCCTTATTCCTCTGTTTCTCTGCAATAATAATAATAATAATAATAATAATAATGAGCTTTTCATCCATCTTCCAACAAAATACCAACACAAAGACTACATTGAAAGAATCATGCTGATTAAGACAGAAAATCATGAGATTTTTAGTTTAGAAAATATTTTACAGTTTAGCGAAATATTATAAAGCCAAAAATCGGCACCAAGCTTTCAATAGAGAAAAATGTGGAAATGCTTAGGTATGAATGCGTTATTCTTGCTTGCATGTTAGAACTATGTGGGGGAAAGGATCATAGTAGAGGACCATTCACCTATACTAGCTAGTGCATGATAAAGCAACCTACCAATCTCAATGAGTTGATGGAAATCATTTATCCACCATGTGCATTCAAAGCTATGCAAATGTGTATTTCAATATTTCTTTTAACTTTGACTTTTTTGAACCATAAACGATTCCTCGGGCAATGCATGATATATGTACTGTGCTTGGATTGTGCAAAAGATCCCTAATGCGTGCCCATCATGGCAGCACTAGTGTGCAATCTGATCCCATTAGTACAGAACACAGCAGGTTCCAAAGGCGCCCAGACTAAAAACTATTTAAAACCGGGTTATTTATCACAGATAAAGCAGATAAAACAAAATAAAATTGGAGATGGCCAAAATGGCGCAGATAAAGCAAAAACAAAAATATTTAAAACAGAAGAGACGAGTACTGAGAAAGGAGATGCCGACTTTTACCATATTTTTATTATATTTCTTTGTAAGATTTAAGATTAAGAGCAGTTCTGCATTTGAATTCCAAACGAGTTATTTAAACATTGATTTCGCCCTCCTATTAGAGTAGGCATTGTCGAGTAATGAGTGGTTCATACAAAAAGCCAAAGCAAAAACCATAAAACGTACATCTTCCCAAATTATGTCTCGATCAATTTCTCTCCTCTCTATCCCCCTCTTTCTTTACTCAGATTGCAAATCCAAGAAACGATATTTTTCTTACACCCATAATTTATAAAAAAGGAACGAAAAAGGCGCTCCAACCATAAAAAAAATGGAAAAAACAACTAAGTACCCCAAATCCACGCAACACAAACTCTAAGCACATCCACGGGGAGCAAATCCGATCCGTGAGGCCGTCAAGTCATACACAACACGGAAACCTTGTTGTTGGATATTTCCGATTATTGACAATCCACTCATTGTACCTGCAAACGCAAAGCAAAAACTCCCACTGTTATCCACGGGTATCAAATAGTTCGACGCCGGCAATGGAACGTCAGCACCTCTAAAATGTAGGACCACTGTTGGCACCTTCACCTCCGTCTTCCCAGACAAATCAAAACACGTGTCAAACAATGAGAATTCCGGTGCCCGTTTCAAACTGGATGCTCCGACCCGGAAAGCATCCCGTAGAGCCACATAAGCAGGCCGGGTCAGCCGGGTCACCGAAGTACCCGAATCTATTATAACCCCACCATTTCCTGTAGTGTCAAGTTTGAATAAAGAAGCTGTGATCCCAGAGACACGCGTTCCACCGACACTAATCCCGAGAAGCTCAACATAATAAAAGGTGTCTAATTTCGGGTTCGACAACAAAGGAGTGAACCGGGCGGTTCTTGAAATAGCAGAGTCACCAAAAACCATAGAAGACGGTTTAGAAGAAGCAGACCGATCCACCAAACAGTAAGAAAACTTACGGTTGAACCGGCGACCGATTTGTGAAGGAAAGGATAATTTTCCCCTACCAAGTCCCAACAACCCAGCAGCACCAACAAAAAGCCCTTCATTATCATGCCCACAACCAAGCGCCACGCGACCAACTCTAGAACCTCTAAACGTCAACGTTTCAGTTGAGAAATCACCAAATGTGAACGAACCGTCGCCGTAAGACACTTGATAGAGACAAATCTGCTTTTTCGTGCTGCAACCTCCAGAATCAAGTCTCCTACACAAGGGTGACCCACAGGGGATATTAGCGAAGGATCTGGATTTAGTCGGGTCAAAAACCGGGTCGGTTTGAGAGTAACATTTTTTGCACGGAGCACACTGGATCCAAACAACGTCGCTTCCAGTGTCGAGCACCATGAAGACGTATCTTGCTGGGGTCCCTACACCGAGGCGCGTGAAGTACTCTCCACTCCCTTGAGCGAGTCCTGAGATAACAGAACTACTGAACCCAGGGCGGCGAGCGCGAGTATGGTTTCTACCGCCAACGGCTGCAACAAGAGAAGTTAAAGATTTGACACGTGCGGCATCACGTGCAAGTCTTGAGTAGAAGAGATCTTCAGAGGTTTTGTCTGAAGACAAGGCATCTATGTGGTGTAACTGTACGGAGAGAGAAGTGGTGGTGGAGTCTTCTGATATTGTTGGGTCGGTGAGTGTTTGGGTTTCGGATTCGGGTACGGTGTCGGCCCATGAGAGAGTGGGTTTGTTAGGAAGGGAGTTGAGGGTTAGGGTTTGGAACTGCAGTGAAGTGGAGAGAGTGGTGGTGGAGAGGGAAAGGAAAATGCAGGGGATGGAAAGGAAGAGGAGAATGGAAACACTTCTTGGTTTTCCTTCCATTGAAGACAAGATAGAATATAGTGAGAGGGGACACAATGAGAGGTGTTTGCAGAAGTGAGAGTATAAATAATTGGAAGAGGCTAGTGCCAAAGGCGGTTCTTGTGTGAAGCTATCGGTTTTTGTCGGGGACTTAGCATTTGCTTCTTCTTCTTCTTCATTTTGTTTCTTTCTAAATTCGAGTTTTCTAATTTCTACATAAAAAATATAAACGGTAATATAAACAAAAACAACTAAAAAAATAAAAGTAATTATTATTTATTCGTTATTTATTTTCTCACAAATTATTATTTACTATGTGGTATTTTTTATAATTTTAGACTGGTATTTGTCGTAATTTTTTTTTACTGTTTTTATACATTTATATGCAAACTTATATTTTATTTTATTTTGACTCTTAGTGTTTTTAAAAGGTTTTTTTTTTTTTTTTAAGTAGTTGGAATCCGATGAGAAATTGTTCGGAAAATATTGGTAAACAAAGGGGCTATTTATAGAGGATTGGGGTGTTTTTTTTTATATATATATATAATAAAATCACATGAATTTTTTTGGTACTCATTCATTTTGTTTTCTTTTTCAATTTTACTCCTAATTTTTTTTATCCTTTTAATTGCATCCTTAATTTTTTTAATATTTTAAAAATATATTTTTTCGAATCGAGTTATTCTCAAACTAAATTAAAATAAATTCGTATTTGATTCATTAATAAACAAGCTAATAAATTAAGATCGTAACCGTATTCAGATCATAAAAGTTTGTTACTAGAATCATTTTAACTAAATCATACTTGGATTAAGATTTGATATTGACAGTTTTAAAAATTAAATACATCAAGAGTTATATTAAAACAAAGCACAAAATAAATTTAAAAAAAACGTAAAATAAATAAATAAATAATTTCTTAAAACTAAAGGAACAAATTTATAATTTACTATATTTTCAATGGGTTAAGTATTTTATTTAATAGAATCGATGCATGAAAAACAAACATTGACCTATGATGGAAACGGATATGGAAAATTAATGACCTTCAAAATATGTGGAGGTGGGTTCGTATGGAAGTTAAGAAATGTTCACAGAAGCAAAAGCTACATACTCTTGTTTCATAGATCTTCCCCGTCATCCCCTTACCATCTTACATGACACTAACACCGAGATATATTTATATGTATATATATGTTGTTCTATTTTTATTTTATTTTTCGACACTAAAAAGTATTTTATGTCAGTTGGCAGGTTAGCAGAAACAGAATGCTCTTTATCGTGTGATGTTAAGAACATATTTTCTTTATGAACATGGTTAATTTAAAAAAATAAATTCTTCTAAGCACCCATATGATTCCAACTCGCGAAATCAATACAGTGAACAAGTCTTTTTATCACCCGATCTACCCGATCCTTTAAGAAAATGGAAGTAAGATGACGAAATTGTCCCTGGGGTGCTTGATCTGAGTGGGAAGGACAAATATCCAAAGATCGTTTGCTTTTGTTAGGTAGAGGTTGGGCTGGGATTCGTTAATGCTTGACAGATAGGATAATGTCTTTTGAGACTCGAGAATTGAAGTCGCCTCGTGGGACTTGGCGGTGAACTGAAGTCATCCTGGTGATAAAGCTACTATTACTGTTACTGTTACTGCTATTATTTACCCTGCTCTCCTCTCAACAACACCAGGCAAGGTATAATGGTGACCTCTGCCTGAATGGGTAGCATGTGCACATGTAGCACGTCAATGAGCGTTGATTGCCAATTTGTCGTGTCCATGCTGCTTTGAGAACCCTGTGATGAAATAATTTCCGTACATCATTGTACTAATATAGTACATTTGCTTACGCTTGTCTATTTTGTCTGCTTTGTGATTTTTTTTTATTATCTTTTACATTATCCAAAGGTAATTAAGAAAACGGTGATACTATGATATTGAAGGGATTTTTGGTATGCAAATTCTTATGTCATTTTAAAATACGATTAATTAAAATATGATATTTGTATTTTGTTAAAAAAAAATTCATAGTGATGTATCTTTAATGTGTTTTGTTCAGTTTTTAAAATTAATAAGAAATTTTAATAAATTTATCTTTTAAATCTTAAAACTCTTAAAATCTGATATTTGCTTTTTGTTTAAATATTGTCCATGCATAAATACACGTGTTGCTCGTGTTAAAAACTAATATATTGAAATAGATTCAACTAAAAATTTTATAATTTTGATATAAAAAACTATTTTTTTGATAAAAAAAATACATAAAAATTTGACTTGATAAAACTGTAACTATTACGTAAATATTCATTAAAGATGTTTGAAAGTATAAGCACGTGATATCTAAAATTACACGATTAGTAAAAGTTAAGGATATACCCGTATAATGAACATCAATGGCAAGGATATTTAAATCCAAAACACATTCATTATATTGCCCTTAAGAGTTCTGATTCCTGTTATTTTAGAAGGGTATCACATTTTTTGCTTCTAAGGAAATGTAATGTCCCTAAAGAATGTTGGATAACTAGGCATATCAAAAGCAGAAGTCCTTGGCATCTTTAAATGATTTTTCAACGAAAATCTTAAATGCTTCCATACCAAACGTCCTCTTAAAGTTACCAAGCAAGGATGCAAGATTTTATAGTCGTGCAATATAAAGTGGTCATAAACTGGACATATAACCGGTTCAGCCTTCAAGGGAAAAAAATAATAAAAAAAAAATGGAAAATTGCTTAGTCGATAATTCTCGTCTAATAGTTGAGTTTTCAATATATATTTATATTCTTAATTCAACTAACTTTATTCTTAAAAAATAATTAAATTTTAATATATCATTCCATTTAAATTAATAGAATCAATCAATGCATATTATTTAATAATATGCTCTAAAGGTTCTCAGTTTGATCTACATGCCAGCTATGCATAAGCACGCAACAAGCATAAGAAAAATAAATAAAAATAAAATCACAAGAGACCATATCCGTCTTCCTCTTCAAAGCCTCCATTTCCTCCTTCCTTCTCTCTTTTTAGTGACCCTCCTTTTCTTCAATGAAATTTCCATCTTCAATATGATATTAACTTATGAAGGTAACTAATTATGTTAATTTGGATAGAAAAACAATAATAGAATTAATGATTGAAAATTATAAAAAATAAAATTAATTCAGTTACATATGCAGAAATAATATAAAAACAAAGACCAGGTCAATTTCTACAAAAAATAAAAAAAGAGGGTAAAGAAATCAAGTTGCAGCATAAGAAGATGCCGACTTTAAACCGTATACTAAAGAATTTTGCGTTCTTTATGGAGAATTAGGTAGTCGCTAGAGATTAAAGGATAAAACTCAAATTAGTTTCATAGGAAATTTTTTTTTTTCAATTATGCTCCTGAGATATTTGGAAATTCACAATCAATTTTATTTGCCAAACTTTTCCTATGTTTTTAACAAAATGTCAAGTCCTGTAAAACGTATTTTTGTATGAAAAGAACTAAATAACTGGACGGCATCTATAAACAAATATAACTCCATAAATTTCTAAAATATTTAATATCCAAGAATTTCAACATAGTTGGAGAACTCATTTGAGATTCAGATTCAGAAAAGATTAAAATTCATTAATACTGTGCATTTTCTCTTGGTATATGAATTACATTATTTCTCTGGTCGCATAGTGGCACTATAGGAAAATAGTAAAATAGTGACGAGATTTTTCATAACTATTCACTTTTAACGACGGATTTGTGACAATATTTTTCAACAGACTAAAACCATCATTGCTACTTTTTTAGTGATGAAAATTGCTATCTATCGCTAACGTAAAGTATTTCCATCGTTAAATCGAAACAAACAATTGTCTTTTAGGTCTAGAATTTGTCACAAAACCATCACTATGTCCCATATGGCCATAGCTATTTAACAACAGAATTGTTGTTGCTAATTATACTTGCTAAATTTCCTCGCAAATTCATTGCCATATCCGTCACTATTTAATGATCGTATATGTGTCAATCGCAAAGAGATTTAGTTTTGGTTGCTAATTCGGTCGTTAAATGAAGGTATTTTTTTTAAATAACTATTTAATGCTAATGGTAGTAGCTAACAACTAAAAATAACACTTATTAAAACACAAAAAAATATTTAATAAAATTAAAATAATATAAATTGAAATAAAATAAATATTTAAATGGGTTCGAGTGTACAAGAAATTAAAAACCTTAAAAAAAGGAAAAAAAAAAGCTAGTCCTCATTATCATTATCTCCTACATCATCTTCTACCCTTGGATATTGAGAGGAATGACTAACTCCCGAGTTGTGCGGGGGTCGGAAAAAGGATGTGAGTCTCGCTACAGTTCTCTTAACACCACCAGGCACCATCTCCATTTGACTATGTAGATTACAAAATTTACTCTCTTGTTCTTGGAACTATCGAGTATATTCAACCTCCATATTTTTTATCCTATCTTCGTATTAGGCATTAACCTCCCGAATGTTATCAACGTCGCCCACCGACGAGAGGAGGGGCCGAAACAAGGAGTCGCCACCTAGCTAATCCGAGAAAACTAGATAACCCTAAACATACTTATCTATATGGATATCCGGATAAACAGAGTTGGTTACGTATGGGGAAGACATGTCGTCACCATCATCCCGTCCTATCCGAGGTAGGTTGCATTATTTGTCTACGAATATAAAAATCTAATTTTTATCATGTTATGCTTTTATGTCTATTTAAATGAGTTTATTTTGTAAAAATATGAGATATGATGGTTTGGGTATAAAATAGGATAGTTTGAACGTTCGAGCCGGTCCAAGGCTAATACATCCTACCCAAATGGGAAAAAGGTGAAAAATTAGAATTTCGGCTAGTCATTAGCAAACACGACCTATTATTAAGAATATGCAAGTTTCTAAAGGTAAATAGTTTTTTATTGGTATGAGTTGTGAGTCATCGGCGACTTCGCTTACACAAGTGGGAAGCCATCAATGACTTCGAGTCACATGTTTAGGAAGCTATCATAAC